AATCGGAGTGGTTTGAAATTAATATTAGTTCAAACCCCAATGGACCATCCGCCAAACATCCCCTCTCTTTCGGAAGGGGTCTGGGGTCATTACCCGGCGCCTGAGGTATCCCCAATAAATGAGTAAATGTTGTTATTGTTGTTGTTAACTTTTTAAATTGTAATTATTATTTATATTAATTTTTTCCAAATATCCCCGTCCTTTAAAGAAATACCCATTTCCCAAGCTAGCATACGTGACTAGAACAAAATTTGAAAATGAAAAGAAAAAAAGGTAAAATTCAAAACATTTTATTACTTAAATTACTATTTAAATTTACTCCTCAAACCAAAATAGTATGAATAATAATTACATTATAAAATAAATTTCAAGAACAAAAACATTTACTCCCTTTTGTTAATTAGATTACAAATTACACCACTTAGCATCCTCTGTAATTTACCTTGACTTTCCATTTAGCCTGAAGTATATTTATCAGCGTTTTGAAATGTAAAAAATTCTGAAAGATTATTTACATTGTTCGGACTGTTGTTCTCATCTTTATTGCCATATTCATGACGTTTCGACCGTTGTACGCTCCGATCTTCATCAGGATATGTCTATATTTCTGAGATGGCGTATTGCAATTATTTACGTTATTTACTTTTTTCGGACTGTTGTCCTCATCTTTATTGCCATATTCATGACGTTTCAGCCGTTTTACACTACGGCCTTCTTCAGGATCTGTCTATATTTCTTAGATGAGGCATTTTTATTATTTGCATTGTTTGGACTGTTGTTCTCATCTTTATTGCCATATTCATGACGTTACGACCATTTTACGCTCCGGCCTTCTTCAGAATCTGTATATTTTTGAGAAGAGGTATTTAAAAATCATCTGTTATCTCCCTTTAACTTAACTCTCCAAGTTTTATTTACCACTAATGTAGCCAGGTACTGAACTCACAAATCTTTGGGTCAAGTCACTGGCTCTGGCTCCAACGAACGCTTTTATCCACTGGGCCATGTGTCCTTGAAGCCAGAGCTTACACCGGCCGATACGTCGTGAATATGGCAATAAAGATGAAGACAATAGTCCAAACAATGTAAATAATTTTTACTTCTGTTTATAAATACATGTTGCAAAAAAAAATTCCTTACATTTGCCTCGATAAAATCTATCAGAGAACGAAACGTGTCGATTAAGATATGTTTTTCTTTTGTCTGTATTCATATGCAAATGTGTACTGCATACATTTTTTACATTATTCAGACTATTGTCCTCATCTTTGTCGCCATATTTATCACAACGTTTCGTTGTGCGCTCCGGCCTTCTTCAGATGTTTGGAATGTCGAACTGAGCCCTTTATTTCGCTCACTGGTTCCACGTGCCATGTTTGATGGATGTCATCAGTTATCTCCTGTTAATTTAACTCTGAAAGTTCTACACTGCCTTAACTGGGTATTGAACTCACACTCTTTGGGTCCTGTCACTGGATCTAACCAACGTCTTTATCCACTGTATCACGTGTCCTTCTGGGTATGAATTTCTCGGTATTATAAACCTAATATCTTCAGCAACCCAGTGCTCATATTGCAATTTTGCTGTTATCATTGCACGTTTTTTTACCAGAGCTCATATTGCAACTTTGTTGTTATCATTGCTTTTCTCTGGCACTCCTTATTACTGGTTCCTATTTTGTTTTTATTTCTATGCTTGGTCGGCTCAGGAGATTTTTGTGGCCTAGTATATGTGCTGATTTCTTAAGTTTACGAATTTTCCAATTTTTTAAATATGGCGACAAAGATGGGGACAATAGTCCGAATAATGTAAATAATGTACATAATAACTCATCTCAGAAATATAGACAGACTCTGCATACATTTTATTTTATATTTTTTTTTTATATTGGTGGCAGAAGAGTGCTCAATATCGGAGATAAGCCACATTGATTTCTATGTCTACGCTGTTGATTTATATAAAAATGGACATGGATAAATAATTCGAAGATTTTCCCCCCGATATGTTTAGCTTGTTGGAAGCAGTGACAAGACACGCAGTGATGTATTGTGCCAAAGACGTGATCATGTGAAAGTGACATGTCCGGGGAATTGGGCACAGCAAGAGATCCACTGCACCCCAGTTCCACAACCGTTTTCCTTCGTCGAATTTGCAAGGTTAGGCTGGGCCGTGTCATATAACAAAATTACCGATCAACTTCATTGCCCAGGAAAATGTTAAACGTTCAGAACTTTTGTTTAAGCAAACATTTGGAACAAATCAAATAAACACATCCAGCCTGGAAATTGCTTGTAAAATCTACCGTTCCCACATTGTATTAATATCGACTAATGAGTAATTATACATGAACTCATAAAGGTCTTCTTTTTTTTTTTCATAATAATTGTCGCAAGTAATAGCGATAATGAAGTTTATAATATCCGACATTTCATTTCGTGCTTATTTTGTTTCACGATAAAATTTGGCGCTCTGACCCCGACCGGAAACACGAGATTCTTC